TTAATAAATTCAAGTCAAGCTTAGTTACATGTGATGGTAGCTATATGCTCTTACCTGTGTGCCTCCTCCGCAACCAGACTGTATTCAAACTCTTAAGTACCAGTTCTATCTACTTTAAAACAATTAAAAAGACAAATCAACTACATTTATTGATATACCAATCTTTATTTTTGGGGCCTCTTCTTCTTTTAAATTAAACTTTCAGACATGAGATATTGAAATACAGTAATAGTTTTGTCTATTTAAAAAATAATGAGCCATCCTTACAGTTAACTTCATATTTCTTATTGTCTAAAGCATTTATGACACACATTTCCCCCTCATATTCACAGTGTGGATCAATTGAGACAGCGTGCAGAGACTTTGGGAGAAACCTCAGCATGACGGATGTCCTGTCTGTGGGTTTGGCTGGAGAGGACTGAGGTGGAGAGGTCTTTCTCTGGGAGGAGGGCCAGGCCTGATGGAGGAGGCCCAGGCCTGATGAAGAAACCCCCTAACTGCATCTGTGAGCACATACTGGGCCTCAGCTGGTCACAAACAAATGATGGTCCTGTTTTGACTTTGTGTTCACAATAAAAGTGTAGTTTTCTTAGTGAATGTCCTGTATTGGTCTTAATCTGAAAATCAGCTTTTCATTTCTTCTTCTTGCCCCTCTGAGAAAACGGTGAGGCAGTTGTGTCCTTCAGGTATGTCCTTTCCTAACAGAAATGACAAGAAACATATGACATTATTGCAGAGCAAGTGTGTTATTTATGAAAGGTTTGGTTTATTTAGCGGCTGTAGAAAATAATGTATTTTGTTAATTTGAATGTGTTTTTTTAATTCAATCACTTTGTACTACAAAGATAATCAGATTATGAATGAACAGTCTGCAGTTAATCAACATTAAAATATCTTATTAAATAATATTCAACTGCTCGGTTGGCTCACTGCAAGAACCACTTTTACCACGTCTTTTACAGACAATATGTAGAGACAAATGGTAGCAATTCTCACAATGTAAAATAATAATTGCCTTAAATACATTGAAATGTGAAAGCTGATTATAGTTGTTACTTTATCTATTAAACCAGAACGTTTCTCGATTCTTTGTACAGTATGAAAGGAGTCTTTGTACCTTTGAGTCCATGCTGAAGTTTCACTGATGTTAGGAAATAGTAGGTCTGTCCTCTCGTGGTCAGCAATCCTCTGGTCTGTCTGCATCACCTGGAAACTTTAAACAAACAGATGTATATGTAAAGTAACAATGTGTTGGTCACAGACTTGTTTTTTACATGCAAATGTCATGTGATAATCTGTTTGTTATCCTTAAAAAAAAAGTGCTGGATATCAAAGCCCACACACACGTAAGGGTAAAAGGACAAATATCTTCAACAAATGTAATGCAATGAATAGCTTCATTGTCACAGAAGCACACATAACGTCATATCTAATATTTAAACAAATCATTTCCTTGTCCCTAAAGCATTGACTGAGCTATTTTTCGTCCTCAAATGCAAGGCATTAAGTTACAATGTTCACGTTCTGCTGCCACAATAAAGTCGGTTTCTCCAGTGTAATGATAATAAAATGCTAAGTAAGTATTGGTAATAATATTAATAAAAACAACGTTTGGGTTTCGTTCGTTTAATATGATGAACGTTACCAGTAAGCTTCAACAATCAACTCCAGCTCAACAAACCATATTGCAATATCTACGTCACGTTATTTCTGGAACCACCTGGAAATGTGAGATTCATATTTTTCAGATACACAGATCTTATAGTGAGGTTAATCTCATACTCTGCTCTTCAACACTAATGTGACGCTAGCTGTCTGCATCGTCGAGCATAGCTATTTAAAATTAACAATAACAATGCATACAGTTACCTAACTAGCAAACTAACTAATGTACAAGCATGACCTTATTTTACCAACCTCACCGAGAAGCCATTATGTTTGTACAGTATAATCCTTCTTAATGGTTTTACACTTCTCTATTATGTGTTAACTTGTATGCTACGGATAGCATCGTTAGCACAGATGTGTGTCGTCTCGCTCGTTAGCTGAATAAAAAGACCAGTAAGACATAAAGTGCTTGAATTTCACTTACCGAAGAAACTGTATTCATGATCTGTTTGAACCGTAGAGCCATAAGATAAGTGCGATATGTCAATGAAGAATACTCCACCAGGCATCAACACAACAAACACGTCCGAGTAGTAGCCTGGAGCTAATGAAGCTAACGGGGCTAGCAAAGAGACCACCAGCAGATGACTTCCGTTACATTAGAAATGACTTCCGTTACATTAGAATGACTTCCGTTACATCAAGAATCCCCTCACACACACATAGGTGAAACACATGCACATTCCTACTGAGAACCTTTCAGTAAAATGTTTTCAGTAGTGTGTGTGTGAGGTTAATTTTCAGTAGTGTGTGTGCGAGGTGTTCAGTAATGAATGTGAGAGGATTTCAATAGTGTGTGTATGACGTTAATTTTCAGTAGCGTGTGTGTGAGTTGTTCAGTAGTGAATGTGAGAGTATTTCAGTAGTATGTGTGCAAGGCCAGATGTTTTCAGTAGTGTGTGTAGTGAGGTAATTCAGTAGTATGTGTGCAAGGCAGATGTTTTCAGGTAGTGTGTGTGTGAGGATTTCAGTAGTATGTGTGGCAAGGCCAGATGTTTTCAGTAGTGTGTGTGTGAGGTGTTCAGTAGTGAATGTGAGAGGGTTTCAGTAGTTGTGTGTGCAAGGCCAGATGTTTTCAGTAGTGTGTGTGTGAGGTGTTCAGTAGTGAATGTGAGAGTATTTCAGTAGTGTGTGTGCAAGGCCAGAATGTTTTCAGTAGTGTGTGTGTGAGGGTGTTCAGTAGTGAATGTGAGAGTATTTCAGTAGTGTGTGTGCAAGGCCAGATGTTTTCAGTAGTGTGTGTGCGAGGGGAGTTTGAATTTTGGCCTACACGGCCCTTCATATTGGAGAGGTGTTCTCTTCCCGGATGAATCCCGGTTTTCACTGTTCAGGGCAGATGGCAGACAGCGTGTGTGGCGTCGTGTGGGTGAGCAGTTTTCTGATGTCAATGTTGTGAATCGAGTGGCCCATGGTGGTGGTGGGGTTATGGTATGGGCAGGCGTATGTTATGGACGACGAACACAGGTGCATTTTATTGATGGCATTGTGAATGCACAGAGATACCGTGACGAGATCCTGAGGCCCATTGTTGTGCCATTCATCCACGACCATCACCTCATGTTGCAGCATGATAATGCACGGCCCCATGTTGCAAGGATCTGTACACAATTCCTGGAGGCTGAAAACATCCCAGTTCTTGCATGGCCAGCATACTCACCGGACATGTCACCCATTAAGCATGTTTGGGATGCTCTGGATCGGCGTATACGACAGCGTGTTCCAGTTCCTGCCAATATCCAGCAACTTCGCACAGCCATTGAAGAGGAGTGGACCAACATTCCACAGGCCACAATCAACAACCTGATCAACTCTATGCGAAGGAGATGTGTTGCACTGCGTGAGGCAAATGGTGGTCACACCAGATACTGACTGGTTTTCGGACCCCCCCCCCAGAAACCCCCCAATAAAGCAAAACTGCACATTTCAGAGTGGCCTTTTATTGTGGCCAGCCTAAGGCACACCTGTGCAATAATCATGCTGTCTAATCAGCATCTTGATATGCCACACCTGTGAGGTGGGATGGATTATCTCGGCAAAGGAGAAGTGCTCATTATCACAGATTTGTTTAGATTTGTGAACAATATTTGAGAGAAATGGTTATTTTGTGTATATAGAAAATGTTTTAGATCTTTGAGTTCATCTCATGAAAAATGGGAGCAAAAACAAAAGTGTTGCATTTATATTTTTGTTCAGTGTATTTATGTATAAAATAAATTAAAAAGTGCATTTTGCATGATAGGTCCCCTTTAAGTACGCTGGTTATGAGGTCGACATTGGCTGGTCGCTAATGGGATCCATGGGCCAGACAAAAATGTAATGAAGTTCATCCAAGGTAAATTATGGATTTTACAAGTTGACTACCTGGTTCAATTTTGTTGCATTCATTATATTTGTCTTTTCATTGAAACTCCTACACGTTATCATCCTTTCCGAGGTGTAAAATCATTGTGTTGAGAGGAAAACGTTTGATATCATTGAGCTAGGGGTTGAGAGAATAATCTGTAAAACAATCATTGTGAATTTTCCTCTGAGCTGCTGGAGGAAGTGCAGCACAAAGGAGCTGCTTTGACTCTAATGATGACAAACCAGGGCAGTAAGTGCTGATTTACAATGGTTTTACTTTGTACCTTCTTACACCAGGCAACAAGCATGAAGGCAATTTTATCTGCAATAGGCAGGAAAGTGTTTCACATTTTATAAATTAAAAAGGCAAACAACATTTGTCGTATTTCAAAGCTGTGCCTCCAGTGGCAGTTTGTGCATGTGTTGTGTTGTTGAATGATGAATTTATCAGGTTGATTACATTTTACTCCAGTTTTCTTTTAGCTGTTGTTGCCAATACAGTGCAGGGCTCGACATTATAAATGGCCCACTGGCCCGGAAGCACTATTTAGACACCCCGGGCCAGCATAACGTACTTTCCACTTGCCCGCTCGGGCCACTAAAAATATTGCTTTAAAAAATATATATTGTCCTGTGGTATTGGTATTTTGACAAGCAATTTTGTTAAATTGTTTTGTTTATTAACGCTACAACATAGCGTTTCGTGAGTCGGTTGTCGTTGTTGTGTGAAAAGCAAACAGCTGTTTGCTGCGCAGCTCGAGCAGGCTCCCGTGAGCGGGAGCGCGCTCCTTCACAGAGTATC